GCTAGACCTTAACAGTAGTTAATTGCTACATATAAACGGGGCATGGTAATTCTGTTTACCTTTCTGTTGCCGTGGACGTTTCACATGATGTAATATGGTGATGGATGTTGAGGGGGAATACTTGGCTCTGTGAGCTTGTCAGTGAAAATTTATCCTGATAATAAGTACTGGCTGTATCAGGATCAATTTGAAGCTTGGGCAGACTAGGCAGATGTGTATGGAAGCAAACTGCTAAGCTTGACAAAAATCATGGCTATAAAGCACATGAGACCCTCTGGCCATGGCTCTGTGCTTGCCCTGTGCAGAGTAGCGTCTCTGAGCACCATCTTTGTGGAGCAGCTCTCTAGTTATTGTTCTGCTTCCTACATACTCAGCCTGCTAACCACCTCCTCCTTTCTTCTGCTGCTGCTGGGAAGACAAGCACTGCCACAAAAGTGTGGGGTTTTTTCCATGCCAGTAATGAGGACAAAATAAGGTTTTTATCCTCATTTTTGTGAGTGACAAATTTCAATTCTCCATATGCTTCTGAGACTGTGTCAGCTCTGACTGTTTATTACAATCCTGCCAAAACTTACATGTTTTTCATAAATTTAGTGAATGGATAGACAGCTTATGCAACTGAAGGCGTTTTTTCTTAATAGATTTGTGCAGCACAGGAAAAGTCTTAATGTGGATAATGTACTGTGCTTCTGAGCTGAAGGCCTACGCTCCCTCCTGGAAGTAGATTTTCGTCAATATCCCATGTTTTGTGTATATACAAACATTCAAAAAAACCCAAAGTTTGATGAGCTAGGAAACTTCACATTCATGGGCTTTCCAGATTTGATAGCTTTATGTAAATAATACGAAAAGAAAAGACTTTCTAAACCAAAATTCTGTACATTTGATTTTGAAAAGCTTTTGTATTGATTTACTTGCATTATTATCAGATTAAATGCAAATAACTTGTGAGTAGCTTTTTTTTGTTTCCTAACCTTAAATCTGCAGCTTTAAAAATAAAAGGCAGTTTGTAGCTTGTGAGATTTACTTAACTGATTTCTGTGCATGCTTTAAAAATTTGGCTTAAAATCTCCTAACTCCATGCATGACTATGCAGACAGATCTAAGATCTGGCCTTACAGAACCTCAGAAGGTTTCTTATAGTCTTACAGGTTGTCCCATATGTGAGAAATTGAATGTGATCTCGTTTATAACTCAAAACTTGTTCTTTCCAGCAGAATTTTCCTGCAACCACTAAGTCTTTTTGCAGATGTAGTGGCTTGCTTTCATGCAACTCATGGTTGCTGTAGGCCCTCTGTTTGTGGAAAGTGATTTTTCAGGCAGCGAACATTAACTTTGTCTCAAATTCTTCTCCCTGCAGGAAGCTGCACAAGCCTTGATTTATGCTGGAATGGCAGGGTCCAACTTGGAAAATATTCAAGAAAAAATAAATGAGTACTTGGAGAGAGTTCAAGCTCTCCATTCAGCAGGTGGGTAAGGAGCTTTCTAATTAAACCTCTGCCTAAATTAATTGAGTGGAAAGCCTTTTGGTGCTGTGAAATACGTATAAGTAATGTTTGCTCTGTTTTTCATTATTCTAATTTTCTTGTCCTTTGTGAAAGACCACAAATACAATGAGCACAACAGTGTTTTGAATTGTGAAATACATCAGAAATGAAGCAGAGACTTACTTCCTAAGGACTTGGGTGTTGGTATTCTTTCCTTTTACATATTCTTAGGAACTTGTTTGATCCAGTTTCAGTGCCTAGACCAAAATCTCAAAGTTTTGCACTCGTACAGTTCTTATTTAGAATCACAAAATCCCTTGGACAAAAAGGCACCTTGGGAGGTCTAAAGACCTATCTCCTGCTCAAAGCAGGGTAGACGTTGATTTTTGAACCAGGTTGTTCAGGTGCAGTCAGGTCCTGAAAATGCCTAAGGACAGAAATTCCCCAGTGCCTCTGGGTCCCTGTTCCAGGATGCAATTGTCTTTCAAGTGATTTCTGCCCCCCCCCAACATATTAGTTGGATTCTCTCCTGTTTCAGGTCATAGCCACTGGCTCTTGTTCCCTTTCCTTGCACTGCAGTGAAGGGCTTGAATCTGTTTTCTTGATAACCTCACAGTCACTGGCAGGTTGCTATTAGACATGGCTTTGGTCCCCCAAAGCCATCTCTTCTCCTGGGTGGACAAGCCCTTCTCCCTCAGGTTCTTCTCAAAAGGCCAAGTCCTCCAGCTCCAACCCAAAACTGAATGTGGTATTCCACATACAGCTCTACTGAGCGCTGAGTAGAGGATGGCAATCGCTTCCCTCCATCTGCTGGCTGTGCTCCTGCTGACACAGCCCAGGGTGCTGTTAGCCTTCATCGCTGCCAGGGTCCTGCTGGCTTGGGCTTACCCAGCTGTCCTGCAGGACTCCAAGCCTTTCTCCGCAGAGCTGTACCCTGCAGGATGTTTGTCCCAGATACAGGGCATAGCGTTTGTCCTGATCGAATTTCCTGATGTTCCTGTCAGCCCATTACTTTAGGCTGTCTGTGTCCCTTCGAATAGCAGCTCTGTCCTGGAGTGAATTGGTTTGGTGGGGTCTGCAGCCCTGATGAAGGTGCACTCCATAATCCCCTTCAGGTCATTAATAAAGGTATTAAATGAGGTAGACACCCAAGTCACAAATCATGCAATATTTTACATATTTAAACATCCTTGTCCTCAGTGTAGTATGAAAGAGATTTTATTTACATTATTTGACATGTGAAATAGCCTGAGTGTGTCTCTGCTTTGGGGGGTGGTAAGTGGTGGTGGTATTTTCTTGTTCTTGCAAATATGTTTTTAGCAAAGTTTAAAAAGTTTTGGGTTCCAGCTGAGAAATAGATGTTACCAATCCGATTAGAACTGCTGGTGTTTCGGTACCATGTTAAGGATGTTTTTACATGTCTGCTGCTGTAGAAAGCTAAATACAGTCTTTTTCATTTAGTTCAGTCACAGAACACAGACCCTCTGAAGTCAAAGCAACAGTTGGACTTGGAGCGTGCTCACTTCCTAGTTACACAGGCGTTTGATGAAGACGATAAAGGCAATGCAGAAGAAGCTGTAGAGTTGTACACAGAAGCGGTGGAGCTCTGTTTGAAAACAGTATGTTAAGCTACAGGTTAACTTGGTGGAATTACGTGATGGTAAGAAATTCTTCCACTTACGCAAGTGACTGACCCTTAAAGGCTGACTTAAAAATGGAGTACCTGTACTTTAAAAACTATTTTTTAGTCTTTTTTTTCCACTGTTTTTTTTTATTTGGTGTTTCTTCCAGTCTTTATGTTATGTTGCTATTCAACACTATAAATTTATGGAGACTTGTGATTTATGTTTTTTTTTCTGAACTGGATTTATACTAAAAACTAAAAATATTCTGGAACTTTTTTGATGTTAACTTTTGCCTTGGAGTGAATGCAACACTAAACCAGAAATTAAAAACAGTCAAAACTGCTAATGTGTCAGCTATATTACTTTCTGACTACATTAAAGGAAGCAATTTAAGGGAAATTTTTGTGTGTTATCACTTTCTGAAAACGTAGTAGTCTCCTGATGCCAAAACTAGTAAAAATACTACTTGATTACTCAGCGCTCAACATTAAAGCCGTTGCAAGTGAATTCGATTCACACTGAAATTAATGTTAAGGATGAATTGGCCATTACATAAATGATGAAGAATATAATTACAGGTACTGCTTTTTTCCCTTAAGTCCAGTTGCCTTAACTAACTCATTACAGGAAGAGCTCACCATCATAATGTAACTCCACCAAGTCTGTTTTTCTTTTTCCCTTCTTTTCCCTTTTTATAATGTAAATATAGGTGGGTCGTTGGGAGGGGAATGCTACTTTTGCCACGTGCTAGATTAAAATCTCCTTTTCTCCGAATTCTGTAAACTGGTTTTATGTAGGTTAAAAACCCTGGTGATACAGTGTAACCAGCTCAAGAGTTAGTAGAGCTTGCTCTAGTTTTTCCACTTGAGCTGTTGGAGCAGAACATTTTCAGTCTATTACATAAAATTTACTGCGGCAGCACACTGTTCCTCCTCTGCTGTATTTGTCCTCCTGTTGTGTCAGTGCATGCGAATATTACTTACATATATTGAAGTTAGTCTGAAATTATCTCATACTAACAACTGCTTTTATCGGGTATTTGATTAGGTACAGATACTGCTGAAGTTTCTTTTAATCTTGACTAGCATATTACTTTAAGATGACTGTAGGCTTTATCCCTCAGGGTGATCAAAAAGTACCTTCTTCTTGCCAGGATGAAAGAAGATTGAAGGAACTCTGCTATCTTGAAGCTTTACTTCTGTCTTTCTCCTCAGTATATTCAGGTGGAGAGATTTATTTCTTCCTTACCCTTGAAGTACTCAGAAAGCAGCCATTCCTCCTTTTCTATGGCTGACTCCTACATGGGTCTACTGGTGTTCAATCTCCACTGCTTACCTTCATACATCTTTCAAAATCTTTTCCAACCAGGAACTCTGGAGTGTACTTTATTTGCAAATGAAAATAGTGCTTATAGAGGATGTTTCTAGTTTTATTTCTTGGGGTGAAGGTAGCTTGTCTTTTGTTTCCTCAGTTGACCTAGCTGACCTGGGAGAATTGGTCAAGGTACAAAGCTAGAACCTGCAACCTGCTTGTTTGCAGAAGAAGCCAGACCTCAAGTTGTGCCTCTTGCAGATTGCTTAGCTGCAGTAGCCATGCTTCATCTGTATGGAAAACAAAAGTGTAAACTGGTTGTATGAGTAAATGGCCATAGCTGACCTCCCAGCTGGGAAAAGAAGTTAGTGCTCTTGATAATCTGTTTTTGTGCCCTATCACAGATTATTTTATGCCTTTGATGTGCAAGAACAAGATTTTTACCTTGCAAGCAACCTTGTTTGTTTGTATTTTATGAAAGTAAACATTGACATTTATCTTTTTCCTAAGTTACCGATTATTTTTGACTCATTTAGGGAAAAGAAGAGGAACACATCTAAGCTCAGTAGTATACCTAACATTTGGTTTTGTGTTCTTTCTGCCTGTAGTGTTCTAATATGGTTAATTCTTCTGGCAAATTTTTTGTGTGTGCAATATTGCCCATACTGAAGAGTTTTAAATACCACTTTTGTTCCATGAACATTCAGTAGAACAGCAAAATATTTACTTACTTAGTGTGCTTTTTATGCTGAGATTTAAAAAAAAAAAAAACAAACACATATTTGCTCATTTTGAAAGAGGAGTGGAAAAAATAGCTAGTTACTGTTTGCTATGATCTGTAAGTGTGGAATTTGACAAACTGAGCCTATAAAACCTGTGGATTTTTTCGATGTGTAGCTTTTTTCTTTTATTTTGCACTTCAGGCTACTGAAACTTCAGAAGCAGGCCTCCAGTCAAAACTGAAACAGCTGGCTCGACAAGCGCTGGATAGGTGAGTATTCCCAATGTTAGTAAACGTACTTGCTGTCAGGTCTAAGTGCACTCTCAGAGTTGAATTCTCGATCTAGTGTGTCTGTTCTATACTGCAAAAAGTGTGGTTTCTGGGTAGACCTAGCTCCTGTAGAGTTCTTCTGGCAGATAGCTGCCAGCTGCTATACTGCTGAATATAGTAGCTGTTGCGCCAAGCCTCTGGGAATCTTGGGATGTGCAGATTTAGGAAAGGATTGTATTTTTTAGTGCAAGTGCACTACTTCAGTCTTCATAGATATAAATCAGAGTACTCTACTACAGTTTTTGGCTTGTATAAAAATGCTGAATTCAGGCCAGCACTAAGTCAAGAGTGTCAGCATCCCTTGGTAAGGAAGACAGGTTGGAAACTGGGAAATACTTGTCTTGATGGTAGCAATCTAATTGCATGGGTGGATCTAGTGGAATGGAGTCTATATCTGAAACAAGTTAGGTGAGTGTAAGTTCAAAGTAACTCCTTTTAAATCAGCTGTATGATGGCGAATAATGGACTGGCTTGCATCAGAAATAGTGTGGCCAGAAGTAGCTTATATATGAATTTGAAATACTATGTTTTAATTGATTCTGGAACTGGAAAATAATGAAGTACTGGCATCAGAAATTGATTTTTCTTAGGAAAAGTGGTATTCGTCAACTTGAGCATTTGTTTGTTCTGTTTAATGTATGTGGGAACATGAACCAAGCAAATAAATAATTGAACCATAACTATATTTTTATCATTGTTGTAAACAAAATGCATTTTTATTTGCTTTAGAGCAGAGGCACTGAAGGAATCTGTGTCAAAGTCATCTCAGAAGGAGAAGTCTAAACCAAATCTCCCAGTCAGAACATTCTTTCCATTGGGACCTGATTTTTCGTTAAATGATAAACCGCAGACAATCAGAGCAGTACAAGCTAGTGAATCTCAAGGTCAGAGATACACTGCAGAGGAGATTGAAGTGCTCAGGTAAGCTGAAGACAAGATTTTTTCGAAACTTTTATCATTTGTGCTCACATCCTTCATGTATCTTTTCTAGTAGATGGAAACAGCCAAAGCATGAGGTTTATAAACAGCGGGTTGGAAAACCACCTCTTGACAAAGCTTGTTGCTGGTATTGCCTACACGTTAATAAGTCATTTTATTCTCTACAGTAATGTAATTAGTGGCTTTTATTCACAGAACATACTTTCTAGAGTGTATTTAGAAGACAATTTCTTGTAACTGACTGCCAGGATTATTTTTCATAGCCTTATTTTTGTATGGTACGCATAACCTACCACATGACTGAGTTCATGAAAGATCTGTCTCTGAGATGCCAAGGTACAAAGGTGTTTTTACAGATTGTACAACTACTACTTCACTGGAAATTGAGGAAGCATAATATTTTGTAGGATTGTTACTTCTGTTATGTCCAGTTCCTTTTGCTTTGTTTTTTATTATAGGCGGAATTAGCTACAAATAATAAAGAATCCATAAAACCTTTAGCCTAAATTGTGAATTTGGAAGACTATCAAACATATCTTAAAAAAAAAAAAAAAAGCAGCATCACAAAAAAACCCAACATTGATAAGTGTTTCAACCTTCCTCCTTCTCATGCCATAAAAAAGATTGTGACAGAGGTGATGCTCAACACAGTCTAGTATTTGATCATAGAACAGTTTGTCTGCTTCTTGTCTTTAGGGGATTTAAATGGACTGAGGATGTGGTCCTCAAGATAGGAACGTACATGTGTTTGGGAAGTTGCAGAGCATTAGCAATTACCTTATTAAAATGCCACTTTTTTTTCCTCTTGCAGTGCTTGTGCAGTAAATGTTTCTGGTTTTGTGGATAGTTTGGGGTTTTGGGGGTTTATTTTTGTTGATTTTTTTTTTTTTTAAGTCTCGTAAGAGAACTTCAAGTTGTTTCACGTCTTCAATCATCATTTGATTTAAAAATATTTTGTGTACTTTTTTCAGTTAACTCCTTGTCTGAAACTTAAATTACATTCCTGTTTAAATATTCTCATTTTTAAAAAAAATGTTCTGTGCACTTTAGTAAAAAAATGTGCTAATAAACATATGCAGTATTTTTGTTAACTTTTTTGGCAAAGGACTCCAAGTACTCCCCCAATTAGATGAAATCTAAGCATTGCTAATTGCTGTCATCTTATGATTCTCTTTAATGAGAAACTTAAGGGACTTACGAAATTCTGTTTAGACAAATGTACGTTTAAATGTGACTTCTAGACCTTTGAAGAGGTTTGTGGCTGATAATCATTTCTGTCCTGACATAGGACTTGTCCACAGGTACGTACTTGCAGGATTAGTGACTGAGCCATCAAGTACTGCATATTTTAAACTCAAATACATATAGAGGTTGTTTCATTTTCAAGATATAGTCGTCTTGTCTTCAGAAGCACTGTGGCTCGTTAGTTTTTAAAAACTAATTTTGTTGTTACCTTTTGGAACTTAGTCTTTGTAGATGCATTTATAGCTATATTTTTCTCTTATGGCTTGCAGGAAGACTTCAAAAATTAATGGCATTGAATACGTACCTTTCATGAGTGTTGATCTGAGAGAACGTTTTGCCTTCCCTATGCCATTTTCGTAAGTGCTATTCAGTTACTGAACTTACTTTTGTTTTTATTTCCAAAACTTTCCCATATTTGGTATTTCTATGTTTTCTTTTTCAGAGTTTAGAATTGTTTAAGTAGGCTTTAAAGCATAATTCAGGCAGATATATTTAAATACTAACGCTTCCATTTTCCAGTCTTAAAACTGTTTAATGTAAGCTGATCCTGCTCTGCGTACTTTTGCAGTTGTGTCCTCGGGCCTATAAGGACAACATTATATTTGGCTTTTTGGAGGATTGGGCTGGGCTGGCAACTTGGGTCCATTTCCCAATTCTTCTGCATGCTAATGAGTTTAGCTCCCTCTGCCTCAGTTACTTGTACAATGAAGATGATAGCCATTTCCTCTGTAAAAGCCTATTTGGAGGAAGAGTGGTATGTAACTGCTAGACCTTCATTCATGAGCAATAATAATATGTTAAGATGACATAGCCTTAATAGACAAAGACCCCTGGAGTTGGCTTGGTTTTTTTTTTGAGTTTTCCACTAACAAGCCTCTATTTTCAGAACTAAAGAAACTTTTTATTATTGGTTCATCATATTGAAATAAAGTGAAGAATTTATGTTTCTGCTCATGTAAATGGCTTTCTAGAATTCCCTTCTCCTGTTCAGTCCTGTATGAAGGAAGCTTTGGGTTTTATTTCATGTTTTTAATATTTTTGTATTTTTTCCCTAAAAATCACAAATTTAGCAGTAGTGTTGTTTGAAATGGGTTCACAACTCTGTATACAAAACTTTGTAATTGTTCTCCATGTATTTTTGCACCGTTTATCAGACATACATAACACTGGACGTACCACGAAAAACTTTTCTAAACTGCTATTGATTTTTTTCTACTTTTTTCTCTCTTAAATCTAGAGATAAATGTGGGAAGTTACCTTTATCCCCCAAACAGAAAGCAATGTTTGCCAAGTGGGTGCGACCAGATGACATAACAAATAACCCTACGATGATTTATACTGTATCAAGTTTCAGTATAAAGCAGGTAAATTGTTCCTAAAGGGAAATGTGTGCTGCTACCAGTTTATTGCAGGGAATATAAGACCTTCGTGTTCAAAAAGAAATCCCCATGTGTGAGAGTACTTTCTTTGGCTCTCATGAGATTAAATAAATAAATAAACAGCATCACTTCAGATTCCATGCATTTTCTAGCCATGAGAATAAACAGGTGTGTTAGCAGTGGAAGTGAAACTCAAAATTTGAATTCCAGCTGAAAATCCTGTTTTTCAGAAATAGTGGTGAGTTTAGTATGAAAAAAGGCAAAATGTACTCTGTAACAAATTATTCACTGCATGGTAAAAAATAATACGCAAAAGTTTTAAATTGCAGAGTGGCCCTTTTGAGGATGGTGGAAATGTCTTGTTCGGTGTTAAGTTGCAGATGGCCCAAGCTATTCTGGAATCAGCAATAGATTATGCCGTTGGATATGGTTTATCTTACACAATGTGTTTTGGGGAGGAGAGAGTTAAGTGTGAGTGAATGCTGAGGAATCTGCTTGCCTCTGATTGTCATTAGTAATTCTAACTCTGGTTTGCTCTGTAGGGGCCTCATGTTGAGCAAGCATACATTTCCTGCCTTTTTAGTAGTAACTTTGCTTCTCCTGGTCAAATCTTTCCCTTTCAAAGGGAGTTACTAACCTCCATTTTCCTTCCCACCACACAACCCGTTTGTCTTTCAGTCTCTAAGCTATTAGTAAATGTCCTCACTGTTTTGGTTTTTTCTTTATAGACAATAGTGTCAGATTGTTCTTTTGTGGCATCGCTAGCCATCAGTGCAGCATACGAAAGAAGATATAACAAAAAATTGATCACAAGGTAAGTAGCTGTTGCTTTCTACGATCTTTTCAGACTTAATACTGTCAAGCTTCCGCAATGTGTTCTATAATTGTTGGACACAGTAAAAACTAGAATTTGTTTCACCTTCATCTCCCTGGGACTCATGTGGCTTCAGCACTTCTGAGAAGGAAGCCAACTTAATATAGATATGTAAACAGATGCTGGAGTCTAACTTCAGATGTGCTTTGAGGAATAATAAATAGTTTGGAAGGTTTTCCTTGCTTTTTAATAGAAATTTTACTTGTAATGCTTCATAGGTGTGTTTTCCTACTTTGCTATGCCAACTGCTGTGCAACAGGTGGTCCATCTTGCATCTCATTATAGAATTAGTGTCAACAACACTGTCTCAGTTCCACTCGACTGGCATCCCATAATAAATTTGGTGCGGGTTTGACAGACTATGCCAGGAGCTCATTGCTAGACCAGCGTCTGAACATTGTTTCTGGGTGGGTTTTTTTTGTTTGTTTAACCTATAGTCCTTAGAATTGAAGTAGTATTCTTTTCAAGAGCAGTGAGTTCTGCACTGTCTGCTTCTTCAAATGTTTGACTTGTCAGGCAAATACTATATTTATACTGTAGATATGTAAATACTGTTTGTTTAATAGTAAGATAAATTTGTTTGCTTTGCTGCCATTGGAGAAATAATTAGGTTACTTAGGTTCTTTTTGTTACTATGTTAAGCAGAGAACTGCAGCAAGAGCTATTTAAACATCATTGTCATTTTTACTAAATTTGACTTGCTCTTTCATTAAAAATTCCATATTTATGTTCAGTGTAAATTCCAGAAACAGACTATGTTAATCTCACTTTCATTGTTGTCAGTGTATGTACAGCCAAGTCATTTACATCACAATTTCCTCTTTTTTTAACAGTATAATTTATCCTCAAAATAAGAAAGGAGAACCAGAATATAATCCATGTGGCAAATACATGGTGAAGCTTCATATCAATGGTGTACCTAGAAAGGTAAATGGTTTTGAGGAGACTTAATGCTGTTACTGTTTAAATCATGTATTTTAAATGTCACTGTGAATCTCTGTTTGCATAGCAAACATTTTAGATACATTTTGTTGGAAAGTGGTTTTTAATTATTAAAACTTTTGAAATTCATTTTGATTGTGAAACATGTAACAGAATGTAGATATTTCTTCTACAGACATTCATGAAAATAGCCTTACTGACATTAAATTAATTTTAAAAATCCTTATATTGCTTAAAAGCATTATGAAAACCATACAGAAAAAAAATTATGCATCCCATATTTATGATTAGGGTGTACAAGTAATCCACTTTTCCACTTGATCTTAGAAAGGAAGTTACAGAACTGAAAAGTACAGAGAGGGACATCCGGGAAGATTATAGACATGGAATGACAATAAAGGAGTAACTCAGCTGACCACAGATTTTTAGCAAGGAGAGGAGATGCCTGAAGATGTATGATGGAACTTTGTAAACGCACGAACAACTTCATTTTCTTCTCAGTGCAATAAATAAGGGCATAAAATAATTTATTTCTTCAAATAATACTTAACTGTAGCACTGATTATTGCATATCATGGAGATGGATGAATGTTTATGGGAGTTCAGAAGTTGAGTGGTCATATTCACGGGGCAGGGGAGTAAGGGGAAAGTTCTCAAAGGCTATTAATTGCTAAGATACAACCTCTGGGTCAGGAAGTCCTTGAGTTGTAAAATTCTGGAATCTGCATGAGTGTTTCAGGGAAGTATCATTTATGTGCTCGCCTTGCTCTTAATACTCTTTCCAAAATACCTCATAATGGCTCCCTTTTGTTAGGATGAATGGCCATTTGCTTTTCTATGAAAAGGATTTTTCATTCCTGCACAGATAGGATTTGACCCGAAAACGTGCTGTGTTGGTAGCCTGTGCTGGTAATGGGCTAACATCAACCGAAACGTCTGTTCTGGGAAGCTGTTTCAGACCACTACAAATAACTGCAGTGACAATCTGTAATAATGCCAACCATATTCTACCTAATTTAAAGAAGAAATGTTAATACTTTCACAACTGCTGCTTTGGGTTGTTTTTCCTTTCCAAAGAGAAGAAACTTAAATCTGGAACTAGAGACTATGAAAGTGATCTGACACATAGTTTGTTTCCTTATAGACAAATACTTGTTTATTTTTCTGCTGGCTACCGAGCACAGTCCATGCTCTGTTTCCTAATTAGATGAGGTATATTGTTAGGTTTTTCTTTACTTTTTATGCTGGTAATTACACTGAACTTTCTGCATCTACCTTTCTCAATAGATACCAGAGGCTTTACAAAAATGTACTGTCATCATCCCCATATTACATAGGGGAAAGTGAAGCAGTTGATCACAGGTCACACAGTGAACCAGTGCAAGTAAGAGCTGGCAATAGAATTTCTTGTTCACTTGGGCAAACCACTGCAGGATTGGTAGAGGTGTCCACCTGTATTTTTTAAATAGTTCTCAAAATACCTTATGGTGCTTTTTCTTTTGTTTATTTCACACAGGTAATCATAGATGACCAGTTACCTGTTGATCATAGCGGGGAACTTCTCTGCTCTTACTCTAACAATAAGAATGAATTATGGGTATCACTAATAGAAAAGGCTTACATGAAGGTCATGGGAGGATATGATTTTCCTGGATCAAATTCTGTAAGTATCAGATTATTTCTAAGAGACAAAAATTTCACTTAGATAATCTTGGGTCAAATAATTTTCCTTCCAGTGAGATCAAAGTGAATTGCTTGGGGAGGCAAGTATTGAGTTTGCAATTTTCCTAAATTTTTTTTATTTCTTTCTTTAACAAATACGCGTAGTGGTACGTGATGACATTTATTCCATCAAAATAGAATGAGCAAGACATCTGGATGGGCAGAGTTAATCTTAGTTCTCTGACTGCAGGATTGACACTTATGGTTGGGAAGTATATGTGTTTTATATGAAGTCTGGATGAAAGTGTTGGGTGAAGTCATAAATTTTTTGCCCTTATCAATACTGCCGATTTTGATTTCTAACTGTAATTCAATAAATAGGGCAGTTCTCCCTTATTAGGTAGGGAAGTCAGCTAGGAAAGAAACAGGCTAGTTGTTTTGTACATGTATATAGAGGGAGCAAGTACTTTGATCTGTGAAAGTTTGTTTGTCAGATTGTTCCATTCATTTACATCAATACGTAATGGGTTCTTACAATGTGGTTACTAACGAAACAGTCCTCGTACTGCAGCCAGACTGACATGCAAATTATTCTTTCAAAGAGGGATGGTTTACTGAAATGAGTAGCCCACATAACCTTTATTCGTTACTTAGGAAGCATTTCTGATTTTAGTTTAAAATTCTTTGAAGTTTTGACACTGTGCTTTTTATTCCATGGTGCTGTTCGCATTCCAGTTGGTGTCCTGATAATCACATTCTTGGGGTAATCATCACCTTTTCAAAAATGACTATGGAGACAAATGGGACTTTGTATATGGGGTAAACGCAGCATACGTTTTTATGTATGTTTATGTCAGTGTTGGGCTGCTTTGTTCTGGAGGACAGAAACTGGTGAGAATAGCTGTGTTTTATTCCCATTGTCATCCTCTAACTTGCTGTCTGGAAGAACAGCTTGTCTTGTGACATTTAATGTCCACCTTTCCCACTCCCTCTGCTATCAATTTTATTATAGCTTCCTTGTATAATCAGGGTTGTTTACTGGCTGTGTAATTCCTTAAGTTGCCACCCACCCCTGCTAGTTATTGACACTTCAAGCATTTATAGTCTCTTGGTACTTTAAGGAGTACAAAGCAAAAGAAAAGGGAATAAGTAATATTTCAAGGAGATGAAATGGGGAGATTAAAGCCTCTTTTTATGGAAATACATGTCAGTGTCAGCTTTACCAAAAGAATAAAAAACCCAAACCCTGAGCCTTAGAAGTAAAACATAAATTATTTAGAATGCATATATAATAGCAAGGTCAAATAGTGTTTCTGAGACTGTGCTTTAAAAGTCTGCGAATCTAAGTAGAACACATCATAGAATTAAGCACAATTGAACATTCTCTTATGTTTCTGTTGGTCTGAAATTCCATTTTGTTTCATCAATTCACTTTCCAGCTTTTTTTTCTTAGAGGCTATTTTGAAATGTTGTCCTAAGCTAATCAATTAAGTTTTTGTTTGGTTGGTTTTTCAATATAGTCTTAATCTTGAGCCTTTTACGTATAGAACTATATTGTAACTTATGTATACTTGATTTCTTTCAAGGCACTTTCATAAATTGTGTACAGACATCGTATGTTTACAGATGGATTATCTATTCTGATTTATTTTGAATGCTTGCATTTCAGAATATTGATCTCCATGCACTGACTGGTTGGATACCTGAAAGAATTGCTATGCACTCTGACAATCAAGCTTTCAATAAAGATAGTACTTTCAGAATGCTTTATCAGAGGTAGAAGATTATTCTTTCTTAAGTAATTAAAATGCTTGCTGTGTGTAGCTGAGTTACCACTGTAAAAGCAATACAGCATCACAGATCCTTTGATAGCATTTTGGTACGACTACAAATTGTGCTTTATAAAACCTCCATATGCTTTCCGGAAGAATAAAAATTGATGTATCTGTGGCTTTGATAGAATGGAACAGTAAAAATACTGTGAAATTTCATATGAGATTATTTTTCTTCTTTACATTTGAAGACAAAAAAAAAGCAGCCTATTTCTTGATGAAGAAAAAAGAACATAGAGTCAGAGAAGAGTATGTTGGAACCACTGTGCAAGTTATTAGCGTTTAAAAAGTAGAAGGAAATGCGTTCTGGGTTCCAACACAGTTCCCCAGAACTTTGCCATTGATCTGCTGTCCTTAGGAAGCAGATACAATTAAAAATACCATATTGTATCTCAAAATCCTGGTTATTATACCCCATTACTAAATCTCCTGGAGGAGCAGCAAAAGTCTTTGAAAACTACAATACTTCAGACCTACCATAACAATTCTACTTAAGGTGAAAGATATAGCTGTAACGTATAAATGTCAGCTAGCAAGTACTTCGATTTCTTTCAAAACTGTTTTGTGCAAGCAGTATCTTATGCATTTCTGTGCAGTATAAGGGGATATTCTGTTGACTGAAACATCTGCATTCATGAAGAAGGAGCATGACTCTAGAATGCTCTCTCAGTAGGTTAAGAGCTCATTTGGTTGTCTACAACTTCTTAGATATTCTGGCTTTGCAGTTTGGAGGTGTGACTGCAATTAGGATGGGATCTAGCTGTTATAGCATCACTATTGTTCACCTATGCTAGACTAAAAATGTGACAATCCATAGTCCAGTGACCCTATAAACTGACTAGGGATGCTGGGTACGTACTTGGATTTTAGCATGGGCTAGTGTGTCTTCACAACAATAATTGTTGCAAAATTAACAATTGCAATTCAGAACAATTGCAGAACTCAGACCCTGTAAGCCCCATGCTGGGCAACTCAAAACTTCAGTATACATACCTGCAGAAGTATAGAAGCATGAACTTCTCATTCTTCAGGTTTTGGGAAGCTCCTTCAGAATCCTGGGGGTGTGAGAGAGTTGTTAATTTGCTAGATGTAGTGATTGGCTAAGTGTTGATAAAACATTTGTGTACCACTGAGAAAAGTATCTTTAAAAAGTGACACAGATTGAACTTCAGGTTGATAAATGCTGATTTTTATTTATAAAAAATAAAAATATGAAATTACATGAAAATATTTCTTCATTTAAAGTCTATACTTAAATACTGAAAGAAAATAGTTCTACTTTCTCAAGCTTTTTTAGGAGTGATATGTGCTGACAAAACCCCCTGTGTTCCAGTTTTTATAAAGCAGAGTCACACTAATGGATGGTGTAAAATCATTATTATTACAGTGTCTGACAAATGTTAGTTTGCATCTTCCAAAATTTTAATTAAGCTGTTTTTCACCTCTCTTTGAACAGATTTCACAAGGGAGATGTCCTTATCACAACAGCAACAGGGGTGATGTCTGAAGAGGAAGGAGAAAAATGGGGTTTAGTTCCTACCCATGCATATGCAGTCTTGGATATAAGAGAATATAAGGTATCAAGTAAACTGAAGGTGTTTTCAGATACCTGTTTGAAACCTGTGTCAACAATGGGTAGTTACTGATTTTTTGCGCTAATGGCTTATACATTTTATTTTATCTTAGCTCCATTGGGAAATTTCAGAAAACTTAATAATGCTGTACTTTCTTGAGCTATTGGTCCGTATTCCATGTTAATACAAATACAAAAATTACCTTGACAAGATGAATCCAGCGATTTTATTTTTTATTTCTTTAGGGACTTCGATTTCTTCAGTTGAAAAATCCCTGGAGCCACTTACGTTGGAAAGGACGATACAGTGAAAACGACACAAGAAATTGGACTCCAGATTTACAAAAATACTTGAACTTCGATCCCAGAACAGCTCAGAAAATAGACAATGGTAATAAGGCTTAAAAAGTCACTATCTTTTCAGATAATGTACATGTTTGTGGTGTATCTTTGCAGGAAGGTGGAAAGAAATGCTTAAGCACAAGGAAAGGGAGAGTAAAACCAATATTAGAAACTAAATAGCCTCAAACTTTAGGAAGTATTTGTGTATTTAAAACTGTCATTTCAGGTTTGTCTGGAGTTATTTTTTCCTCTCTCCTTCCAGTTACAGGGAGCGACATTGGTAGAAACAGATGCTCCCAGTCTATTAGTACATGGCTCTGTGACCGGTGCCACTGCCAAAATTTTGGCTTTTTCAATAATGAGATGGCCTGCATGGCACCAGGCTTGCTGGCACTGGATGGGATTCACCTTTCTCAAAGAGGGAAGAGGGTCTTTGCTCATGAGCTAGCAGGGCTCTTTGACAGGGCTTTAAACTAGACTTGAAGAGGGAGGGGAATAACACTAGGCTTGCCCAAGACAAGCTGAGAGCACCTGAAGAGCAGCAGAAAGAAATTCCAGCCACTCCAGCCAGTAAGTCAGCTTCATCAGGGGCTCAACTTAAATGCTTCTATGCAAACGCCCGTAGCATGGGCATAAACAAGAGGAGTTAGAGGTGTGTGCGTGCCTGTAGGGCTATGATCTTACTGGCGTCACAGAGACATGGTGGGATGAATCCTATGACTGGAATGTTGGAATGGAAGGATACAGGCTCCTTAGGAATGACAGGCAGGGAAAATGAGGAGGAGGCGTCACCCTCTGTGAAAGACCAGCTGGAGTGCATGGAGTTCCACCTGGGGATGGATGAGGAGCTGACTGAGAGTTTATGGGTCAAGATTAAAGGTAGGGCAGGGACAGGCAACGTTATAGCAGGGGACTGCTACAGGCTGCCTGACCAGGAAGACAGAGCAGATGAGACAGTCTGTAGACTGTCTACTGATAGATAGGAGCAGACTCACGTTCACGAGCCCTGCTCCTCATGGGGGACTTCAGCCACCCCGATATCTGTTGGAGAGAAAACACAGCAGGGCATAAGCAATCCAGGAGGTTCCTGGAATATGTTGATGATAACTTCCTTCTCCAAGTGACAAAGCAACCAACGTCAGTTGCTCTTCCCTTATCCACCAGTGCTGTAACCCCACTGTAGAAGGCCACCAAATTTGTCAGGCATGATTGCCCTTAGCGAAGCCATGTAAGCTGTCACCAATCACCTCTTTATTTTCCATGCACCTTAGCATAGTTTCCAGGAGCATCTGCCCATCTCCCTGCCCATGGCAAGGGGATTAGAACTAGATGATCTTTAAGGTCCCTTCCAACCCAAACCATTCTATGATTCTATAATCTGGACTGTTTAACATATCTCAAATTCATTGACGAGAAGTCACCTCTTTGCTTCAGCGCTGCTGTCTCAGTATCCAGTGTAGGGGAGTTCAGTGCAAAGATAACATTCTGACAGTAAGCTGTATAATGCTGCTTTTTAATATGTAAACAGACTTTTTGTGGGTTTTTTTTTCCTCTAATGTTTGCAAATATGTATCAACGTGCTTACTGTAATCAGTACTTAAATTTGTCTTGCCTATATTTGAGGTTATGCAGTGGAGGTAAGTGGAGGGTTTTTTCCCTTGCATTACATTAATGTATCTGTAAACAAACCTTTACATACTTTCTATTTCTAGCTACAGTAGTTTGAGATCCATCTTTGAGACAATGGCACTACTATGTCACTGTCCAGAGAAGCCGCTTGGAGTGATTGTCCTGTCCCATCTTCCCTAGGGAGCAGCAGAGTGTAACATCTGGAAAGTCAGTGTGGGTTTGCTGGCGGAAGGGCAGGCTGCTGACAGTTCAGAAATTCCGCAGAAGCTGTGTTTTACATTCAGAAAGAGATGTCTGCTCTTCTTACAATATCCTAGGTGTTGTCTCTGTATCTCTGTGAGGGGGCCCTTTTGCTCAGTACTATTTTGATAACAGTATGCATCCAAAACAATTAAATGATAGCATTTAAGGATAAGCCCTCTGCAAATGCCTAAGGAAAACTTTTCATTTAAATATAATAGCAGCCCTGCCTTTGTGACAGTTATCAGATTAGCTTGTTATTTATTTACCAATTCATTTAGTAAGGAATTTATATTGGTAACATCAAGCAGTTAAAATTTATATAGAATTACGTTAATAATTTTTTAAGGGAGTTGTTTCTTCTGACTGGATTTGCATTCTGGTCTTGTTGCCTAAGTGTGTAGCTATTCTGGCTGTTTAAGTACTGCAAGATCTGCAACTGTGTATGTCAGAGACTTGAATTGTAAGGCTGTTACCTTTTTGAGAGTTCATTTCATCACGAATCTGTCAGCTTGCAGGCATTGTTGTTGGCTGGAGTTGCAATTAAGGGAGTTATAGAAAATGAGAATAAATGCATGAGAATGTTGTAAAGATGATGCAGTTCAGGGTTCTAAGCAAGTCACGTGGATATATGATGAAGTGCCTTAGAAGTACATTCAAACGTGCTCACATGTTGACTGAATACTTGATTGCGCTGGATGACTACTGAAGTAGGTTGTTGAACTGGAGAAACCTGTTTGACTGTGTAATTTTTTATTTATTTATTGAGAAACCTAGGAAATGGGAAGGCAGGTCAATTATTTAATGAGTTCTCTTTCAATACAACAGGTATTCTAATGCCTTCTGCTTAGTGGTTGAGAATAGAAAGCATCTTGACAGCTTCAGAAAGTCCCTGATGATAAGCACAGACTAACTTGTTTTTCTTAGTTTAACTTGTTTGTTTTGGGGGTGAAGTTTAAATTTAGAAATTTGGGCAATGCAGACGTTACTACTAAGTTTTACAGAAATGTTGGTTTATATAAGCTATATCATTTGCCTGGAAAGAGACTTTTGAAAAACAAGTAAAATCAAAGTGTCTGGTAAGGAAACAGTAACAGCATTTCTTCTTCAGGCATTTTCTGGATTGCCTGGGAGGACCTCTGCCAGTACTATGATGTTATTTATTTGAGTTGGAACCCAAGTCTCTTTAAAGAATCTACGTGTATTCACAGGTTGGTCCAAGAGAGAAAACTTCTGTGTCAATACCTGACTAAATGTTCTGATGTGGTGCTTCCTTCCTTCCATTCTTCCTATTTGCAGCTGAAGAGGTTGGGCTCCAGCGATGCTCTCTTGAGCCTGACTTTACACTTCTAAATTCTCAGCCCAGGCTTTGTTTTTGACTACTTCTGTAACATCATTGAAACTCCAGTGACTTTTGTGATGTTCCTGTGGACCCAAGGTTGTGTAACCAGATTCTGACCTCAGTCCCACATCTGTCTGTCTGAATGGAAGTCAGATTTTTGTGCAGTCTGTCTTGAAGCAGTAACCAGACAGTGCTCAAGTGACCTAACTTTTATTTGGAATTCATTTTCCTGGGCAGCTGCAAGTCATTTGTGCAGTGCATGTTGTTTTTATAGGGTGTGTTCGCTGATGTTAAGAGTAGTTTAACTACTCTGTTTTTCACCAGTCATAGTTATCTTAAGTAATCTTCCTTGACTGCTTTTTTTTTTAACATGATACCTGTCTCCTACCTAGTATCCGTCACATTGAGTCTCTTTGTCACCCAGTTCAAGGATAAGTGTGTGTCTCAGTTCCTGAAAGCAAGAGTTTCTCTATTTTTTTTTTTCTACTCCACTATATTGCACTTTGCCACTGCTTCCACACTGTTTCTGCGTATGTTAGCTCTGCACAAGCTCCTTCATCCCTAGTACAGCTGCTGAGTTTATCTGCAAAGGCCCCTTCCATCTTTGTGTTCGAATTAATTCTAAAATACACTGTGGTGATGTAGCAAGAGAAGATAATGTGCATGCTAATCTCAAAGCTCATAGTCTGCCTGTCCTTGTATTATTAGTGATTGTCGTACCTCTGTGTAGG